ATCATTCTACTGTGGTAAATATTGTTTCGGTTTTATGTGGATTACTTTAAAATACCACTCTCCCTGCGCAACAAGTTTTTAAATCAGTTCACGATTCTGAATAGAGCAATCTTACGTCGTGATTCGATAACGCATTTGTTAAGTAAAATTCAAACTGTAACATGAGCATTTGCAAGAGGGTTTCGATGGAGTTTAACCGTCAGCAATCAAAGAGGATAGATTTTTACGGTCAACCGTCCAAAATGCAAATCAATATTAACCGTCAAACGGTTTAAAGAATTTGTATACTTTAGTCACTTGCTACCAAGAGCTTAAGATCTGGAAGAATCCTTCGGATGGTTAACTGGCCTATAATATTAAAAGATGGCTGACTTTATTGATGACTTGTCTTTGTACACACAACTACGCACTGTTTCTGTCCATCGACAAGATCACAACTGTGATCACGCTTAGATCACGTCGAATGTCCTGAAAGCTTTCGATAGCTTTTAGAACAAAAATCATCACTGGTAGTTTTCGCCAGATTATTAATGATTCCCTCGAGATCGACGACATTTTTATCTTCGCTCTATGTTTGAAATAGTGAAAGTAACCAAAAAACTAACGTTCCAATTGAATGGATGAAAACCCTTCAAGTGTGCGAGAAGCAAACGCAACAATCCAATGAAAGAGAATCTTAGAAGTACTCGAGATACTTAAGTAACTCACGAATGAAGGAGTTTCGGAAAGTGCGCGAGATACTAACGTAACAATCCAATTAAAGAGAATCGTAAAAGCGCGCGAGATACCCACATAACAAAATTTCATATCTAGAAGTAACCGTGCAACAAAATTCTCAGTTATTGAATTGGTCCCTACCGACAGAAGAAATCTTTCAGGTACACCGCCAAAATCGGCTGGTGGCAAATCTTTTAGTTGTTGATTTTCGTTCTCAGCCGCGAAAAATGCCATCAACAAAGCCACTGAATGCGTAACTTTCGGATTTTCTCTTCGTATTTTGGTTTCCTTCCCCTTCTAGAAAAGTTTAACGTCACTGTCTATAAAGTATACGGATATTTCACTGTTTTAGCAGCCATAATCTGGGAAAATTCCGACAAACAATGAAGGATTGAGCGGAATGGTGAAGGCTTTGCCCTAAATTCACCAACCTGACCGGGTGGCGCTTAATACGAGTGACGTGTCAGCAGCTGATTTGCGATATCAATCACACGTGAAAAATATGGTATTTCTTTTTCGCTGGGCTGGAAATCCTTGTATAACACCGTAGTTTATATGATAATCTAAAGTAACAATTTGATGAGAGAGAATCTTAAATGTGCGCGAGATACTAACGTAGCAATCCAGTGAAAGAGAATCCTAAAAGTGTGCGAGATACTAACGTAAAAATCTAAGGAAAAAGAATCCTAAAAGTGCGCGAGATACTAACGCAACAATCTAACGTAAGAGAATCCTAAAAGTACGCGATATACTAACTTACTACACCCATTTTGAAATCACTGGGTGTCCCTATAATCTGATTGACTCTAATTGGTGCGATTTATTCACAAATCGCATCTTTTTCTTAGCCAATGAGGAAGCTTCACTAATAAGAAAACAACCAATCATATTTCAAGGCTTGTTTACAGTAACCAATCAAATTGCAGGAAAGTGAGCCACTTAGGATGGCATCAGTAGCATCGAAACATACTTTGCAGATTTAAAAATGTCGTTTTTAATGCAGATTGTAATTCCTTTCGTTTTCAATCTATTTTTGTGTTTGCGTCTTATTAACATTTTGCCAAAGATACACCTCTCTTTCTATTGTATTGCCTCGTTTTCAATTCTGCTCCAACAAGCTTAAAAAGACATTGAAATTCCAGATGCAAATAAGATCAATTTACTGAGGTAATGGTAATAAGCTAGCTACTTTCTTGATATTTCTACTAGAATAAGGTAAAAATGCTGACGTTGGCAGTCACGTGACGTTCCTCGTCATCATCTTTTTGCATATTTCACGTCTACTACCATCAATTTTTAGTCGCATTCGCTTGTCCATTGGGAGCTAGAGGGTCAATATAGATCTCAGCCTCGTTTCCAGTTCAATTCAACTCCTACGAACTACCACACGTTGATCAGGAAATCTTTCTCTACCAGAATCAAGTGTCAGACTTTTATGTGGTGATGGTATATATATTTGTAAACGGAATTATATACATGCTAGAAAACCTGCGATGTGATTTGCAGTCCTAACAGTTTTTTTAAGAATCACAATAAAAATATACAAAATGTGAAATCGGATAAACCTGTCTCTGCTAAACACCATTGAGCTGTGCACGCTTTTCATGGCCTCAAGTGCTGCAGTCATCTCTCTGACAGTTTGGTCCAAGGTCACTAAACTGTAAAGGATGCTAACACTTATTCAAAATTGACATTTGATGCTTAAAAAATTAAGATAAATGAACCTATTGAACAATATTAACATGGCAATGACAATGATGATAATAATGATATAGTATTCGTCCATTATTGTTACTATCTTCTACATCAATGGCAATAAGTAAGATTAAAACTCGAGCCAAGAGGCCCACACTACCGGAACTTATCGCTGTTTCCGTTGATTGAATCTGTTAGTAGCTACTCCGTAGTTCATCGTAGGGTGACCGAAGAATACTTACTACAAGTAAATGATCGCGACTTAACGTAATTTTGGTTTTTATTACGTCGTGATCTCGGTCCACATCCTGTGAAAAACTCATCCTGTGTTAGCTTATCTTACTGAGAAAAAAATGTGGACTGGAAAAACCAAGTAACTACCAATTTCAAAACTTTGTCTTTTCTTAGGCCTTATTCGTTTCTGCTGAGTTCATCGCGGCTTCCCTTTGTGAATTCGAATTTGAAAGGATCTTCAGGACTAAAACCATACTCTCCCAAGAATTGGGGAGAAGTTTTAATCGAATTAGCCTAAATGGAGGTCACCAATTACAAACCCTACAGATGTCCATAATAATGTTCAGCTCGGAACTTATCCGTGACAATTTCGCGTGATATTTTCGTGTAGTTATTATTGCGTTACAGGATCGAGATTGACTTTTTCGTATTAATTTCGAACATGGCCCATCTCTAATCTCGAATTATCGTTACGATGTCGTAAATACATCAGATAAAAGGTTAATGTTTGCCTACCGTTTATCGTATCGAATTCACCCGTGAAATCGTCCGTAACGGATGGTATACCCCAGAATGTAAATTTTTCCGGAGACAGAAGAGCGATTAAATCGTTGATGCCAGACCGAATCACGTTTGAAGAGCACTGACAAACCACTGACTATAAATATCAAGATTCCACCGACAGGTAAATGTGAAGTTTGCTATGAATACGAATGAGCGTCAAATTTTGGGTGATTCATTGAATTCTCACTTAATCAACCGCAAACGACTCTTGTCCGGATTACGTTATGTCGTTACGTCAGATCCAGTAAATTATTGAAATGATCTTTAGGAAATGTATAGCGTTGTGGTGTACATTCTTTTCGAATTTTTGCAGAACGCAAAGCGCAATAGAACTTTTCGATATAATTTTGGAAAAGGTTCATTAAAAGGGTCCTTTAGGAAAATTCTAGATATTTACTCATGGTCAGTGGCTCTTGAGTATCTTTAGTTTTTCCCGAAACACATATGCCTGACCCTACCCCGTCATATGGAAGGTCGCACATAACAGTGTACTAGTAACGTGTATCAAAGCCTGCTTACCTTTGCGTATTCGCGTTTATTTCCGCTTGAAAACATTCCAGTTGCTTTTGCATGTTTGATCGTGCTAATCTTTCTGACTCATCTCTTCTGCTTAACAAGAAAAAATCTGTTGATGAAGTTGTCTCGTTAACACCAGACACTTAACTACGTATTATATTTAACTATGTGACATTAAACTTAGAGATGTGTCAAAATTTTAGGCAAGATATGTGCACGGAATATTCTTATGTTCGATTCATTCTTCAATGTGGTCTTACGAACCCGTGTTTGGTCGTTTCGGGTTGATTTGTAGCCCTTGTTTCCTTCTCAAGCCACTGCTCAATCCTTTCCGGTAAGTTGGAGAACACATCGCGATTAGCTTTCAACACAGCGATGAACGACCTCCTTGAACGAGTTCGAGCGTCGTCGATCGTCGTTTGTGATTCGGTAGTGGGGGATTGTGTGTCTGTCATTGCCACAATACAGCGAATAAAGAGCAACGATTTAAAATATTGAGTCCTTGCGCATGCAGAGGGTTGATAAAGTAAATCAATAGGCCATTTTTCACGGTTGAGAGATCCGATCCTGAAACACCATCATTCGCACTTTGCCTCGTTCTCGTGCCTCAGTGAGAACTTGAAAATGGCCCAAACCGCTGGAAGAATGTTACTAGATTTCTGAGAAAAACCGGAAGTGTCATGTACTTGAACATGTAATGTATTTATTCATTTATTTTATTTTACAATTTTGAGAAACGATTTTTGAGCTGAGCATAACATAACCTTGTCAATAGCTTAAAACAGACGAAAAACCAATCAAATATACGCTCATAATTCATATACCACAGTCCTCCACACAGTTTTAATTTCAACAACGTCTGATGTC